GGGGATTGGGTGGTCCAATACGATAAACTGGCGAATTGTTTGTCTGGTCCAAACGTGATTACTCCAGGCCGCCGCTAAATTAAGCTTAAATATAGTTCACTGCGGCATAAAACAGCAGTCACTGTGTGGTCCAGATTATTTACAGACTACCGTCATATAGCTGGAATATTTCTGAGTGAGGCGTTAACAAACAAACAAACAAACAAACAAACAACAAACTCATTATCACCTTGAGAACGTGTACGGCTTTGTCATGTCATTAAGTCGTCTTTAAAATATTACACGTAGAACTGTGTTAGCATCACCTTTCTGTAGAGAGACGTGTTACAATGACCTAAATGCCAATTGCCGATGGCTATGATGTCACAAATACGGTATCTTTGTATCTATCAAAATCAGCAGCGCTACATGAGGCGATATCTTTGAAGGGAATCCTGCCTGAGGCTAAAATGATCGCTGTACTAACATATGAAGAAAACACGTTAGAACACAGCCCCAGGTGTATCACCTCATGAGTACCGGGTGACGCAGGTTAGGAGTTGCTGCATATTTGTCGTGGTCGTTGTGGTGGTGTAGTTGTGTTGGCGTTGATGTCACCAACATTTTCAGGACTCTGATTACCAGTTGGTGTTTTCTCAATGGCCTCAACGTTTTCGGATTCTGAGGGGGTAAGTTAATTGCCCTGATGTGTTTCCATTCATTTTGTATGTTTGACTCTTCGTAAGCTTATCTTTTGACGCGGACACAACATCATGGCAAATCATCCCCGGAGACACTCCCTCGGTGTCATATTTCGCATTACCTGGTCACAGGTTATCACAGACTTATATCCTTTACATGACGAGTTGTTATGGTCATTTAGTAGTTTTATCTGAAGCGACGTTGAATAATGCTTCGCAGACTCGTCCTTTGTTATACATATTCTATTTGTTTTCGAATAGCAATTTATTCAAATAAATAAAATCGATTAGAACATTTACATAATTATAAGGAATATGTACTAGAAGCAGTTTCCATATCATGAGGAAGTGTTTCTGAATCTAACAAATAGCGATAACACCGCCAAAAGATTAGCGTATCCTGCTCTGTTGGCGGCACCCGTCACAAACACATGCAAAGGCAAGTAATTTGTTCTGCTGAAAAAAAAAACCACGGGGTACATATGGTACAAATCAAAATTGGGCATTGCCGTGATATGGATCAAATGTCCCCACATGTCTATCATAAAACCGTGAAGGTTGTAACCCTGATCAAATAATTTTTGAGCAAGAGAAGAATCGTATGACGCTCTTTGAAATACCTCAACAGTCCGACATATAGACACCAAAGGCTGGAGCTGCTGGAATATCGTTCTACATGAAGGGAAAGTTGACTATTGGAAAGTTGAAGTCATCCCTCGTGTCTTACCGTCTTGTGGAACGTTGTTTTGTCACTCTGAATCTGTATTCACAGATCTACAGATTAAACAGGTGAGGCGGTTTCACTGATCTCTGATATTTCAAACCCGCGAAGATCCGGGATGGTAAAGGTCTTCAGCAACCCATGCTTGCCGTAAAAGGCGACTATGCTTGTCAAAAGAGGCTACTAACAGAATCAGGTGATCAGGCTCGCTCGATTATTTACAAACCGCCGTCATATAGATGGAATATTGCTAAGTGCCGCGTTCAACAACTCACAGAGACAACAACAAAATGATATCTGTTGGAGCGGGCTGCAAGTTACTAGAATATAAGCTGTTTGAAAACCCACGTTTATCCCAATGAAAAGTCTCCTTGTAGTAGTGACCTTGTCGATGTGACAAGGTCATAACGCACCTCTAATCATGGGAGCTAATAGATCTTTAGTACACGTAAGTGTGGATTTATTTTCTGGTTAGGACAATGGAAAACAAAATCCCTTCCTCGTTATGCTGGAGAACATGTGAACACCGGTAGCCTGCCTCACGTGATGCCCGCAGGCTTTTCCTACAAGCAACTTAAAGGCACTGAACACGTTAAGACCTTTGTCTTGCAAAGATGTTCAAGTGCGATAGGACGGGACTACCATTCAAGCTAAGCCCCTATTGTACAATACGTTTGTGTTATTACGACTGTGTCTTGAGAGCGTGTTGTGAGACATGCAGGTGTCATAATCTGTTGTTAATTGTAAGGTGAGGTGAAATGGGGCTTTAACGTCGCGTCCAAGATTATTACACTTATATAGCGACGTGCATGTACGTGTGTGTGTTTGTGTGGCTGCTTGTACTAGTCCGGACTGATGCCGATTTATAGTGCTAGCTCACTGAGATACCATGCCGCAGTTTAACATGAATATCCCACTCAGACACAGTATACTGACTCCGAGCCGACCAGTCCTTGTTTTATCCCCTTAATGCCGAGCGCCAGACAGGGTAACAACAAGTACCATCTTTTAACGTCTTTTGGTATGACGCGGCCGGGGATCCGGGCGGACGCTCTACCACAAGACCACGGAGGCGGTTGTTAATTGTAAGGATTGATTTCAAATCACCCGCCTAGCGCTCGGGGCGCGGACATCTGTGAGGAACACCGAACATACTTACGTCTCTCCCTTCCATTGACTTACCCACCTGAATGTGAAATAAAAATTGTTTGTTTGTTGTTAAACGCCGCGCTCAGCAATATTCCAGCTATATGACGGCGGTCTGTAAATAATTGAGTTCGGACCAGACACTCCAGTGATTGATATCATCAACATCGATCTACGCAATTGGGATACGATGACATGTATAAACCAAATCAGCGAGCCTAACCACCTGATCCCGTTAGTCGCCTCTTACAACAAGCATAGTCAGTCGTCAACTATTGCTGTATGTATATTATACGTCGGTGAATCAGGATATTTTGTGCGTTTGTTTGTCTATTTGTGACTTGGTTGATGAATGTCATCGTATTCCTATTGCGTAGATCGATGCTCATGTTCTCAATCACTGGATTGTCTGGGTACATGGGTACAATATGTGAAATCCATTTCCGGTGTACCCCGCCGTGATCTAGCTGGAATATTGCTAAAAGCGGCGTAAAACCATACTCACTCACTCCAATCATCATTCCAATATTGTTAGTTCCCCTGGGCCACGTGAATCGTGAATGTTGAAGCTTTGCGGTGCGTTACTGGTTAAAGAAGGACACCTGTTTTCTGGGTGCCATCAATGGTTTGTAAACACCTGGTATCATCAATTGTTTGTGAACACCTGGTATCTTCAATGGTTTGTAAACACCTGGTATCTTCAATGGTTTGTGAGCACCTGGTATCATCAATGGTTTGTGAGCACCTGGTATCATCAATGGTTTGTGAGCACCTGGTATCTTCAATGGTTTGTGAACACCTGGTATCTTCAATGGTTTGTAAACACCTGGTATCTTCAATTGTTTGTGAACACCTGGTATCTTCAATTGTTTGTGAACACCTGGTATCTTCAATGGTTTGTAAACACCTGGTATCTTCAATGGTTTGTGAACACCTGGTATCATCAATGGTTTGTGAACACCTGGTATCTTCAATGGTTTGTGAACACCTGGTATCTTCAATGGTTTGTGAACACCTGGTATCTTCAATTGTTTGTGAACACCTGGTATCATCAATGGTTTGTGAACACCTGGTATCTTCAATGGCTTGTGAACACCTGGTATCATCAATGGTTTGTAAACACCTGGTATCATCAATGGTTTGTAAACACCTGGTATCATCAATGGTTTGTGAACACCTGGTATCATCAATGGTTTGTGAACACCTGGTATCATCAATGGTTTGTAAACACCTGGTATCTTCAATGGCTTGTGAACACCTGGTATCATCAATGGTTTGTAAACACCTGGTATCATCAATGGTTTGTGAACACCTTGTATCATCAATGGCTTGTAAACACCTGGTATCATCAATGGTTTGTAAACACCTGGTATCATCAATGGTTTGTGAACACCTGGTATCATCAATGGTTTGTAAACACCCGGTATCATCAATGGTTTGTGAACACCTGGTATCTTCAATGAAGTTTGACAGCGGTTCGTGAGTGAACATGTACCAAAAAGTATCAATACCCCAACGTGTTAGACATTTTAATAATTATTATTATATATTTCATCAGTGATGGGTACCCAGTAGGATGAAATGGTCATGTGGCTGTTAACCTCCCAGCTTCTAACAAGACAGCTTGGGAAAGATTGTATACTCCCCTGCGAGTTGAGAAAGAAATTCGAGTGCACACAGGTCCACTGACGGGACCTTTGAGCATGCTTCAGGGCATGGAATTGGCGCATTAGCATACATGTGTCGAGGTTTTACTGACGTCGCCTGGTTTAGGTTCAGAGCAAACTAATCTGAATTTAGGCCTTTAAAATAAATAAAGAAAATCAAAGTTTTCCTACCGCTAAACAAAGTTCTGAGGACATTCCATAACAGGTCACATCAGAAGTGCTTTTCGCTTACTTTGACCGGCAAATGAAACGACTGACAAGAAGTCGACATTACCCAGTCAGAAAGCACCTTTCTGGCACCAGTTTATAACTGGCAACTTTCATTCAAAACTTCTCTTTGAAAACTATTTTGACAAGTTCTCGATTCAAAATTTGAAAACTGAACAAAAGAATATTCTCAGACTGGAAAGTCTAATAGATGGCCGATATTGTATGGCAGTACTTCCCACGAGCTGTGTCTCCCCTATTCAAACACTAATCCCATTGAAGCCACACGTAAACGATGATGTTCGCGGATGCAGCCCGTAACTGTCGTTCGTAATACTCCGTGTTAACCCTTTCAAGTTGCATGATGAGAAAACACATTCAGTTGGTCACTTTCCTGTTCTGGTAAGCGACGCTCTGATTGGTCGGTTGAAAGGTCGTTCTGATGTCCTCACATCGTTGTTCAGCGGTAGCGAGAATTAAGATCTGACTTTTATGAGATTGTACCTTAGGTTTGGTCTCAGGTTTTGTAATTGGTTTCATCTCTTTCATTTATCCCTCGTTTTCCTTTGTCTGTTATAGGAGCATCAGACCAAGAAGGAACTGCTGCTACACTACCGTGTTCATATTTTCGTGGCTGTCATCTTTGTCATCACAGTGTCGTTCGTAAGTGCAGCTTGGTATTTCCACGACAAGCAAGTAGAAGACTTAGCGACAACCCAGAAGATCTTCTTTGATCCACGAAGCCGTGTTCTGACCCTGAGAGACCAAGTGACGGGAGACGATCTGACAGGTCATCTGGCTCAAGATCTACCAAAATGGCAGCTTCCCCTCCATTGCCCTATCTCAGAGAAGGGCGACCCAAATGCAAAGGAATGCAAATGGAAAAAGAACGCCATCTTGAGGATTGGTTACTTCAAAGAAGGATTGATTCAATGTTATAATATTTCATGGGAGTACAGAAACAAGAATCATGTTCCTTTTGATTGTTTTGACTTGGGAAGCGCATTTTGGTACGGGTCCTCAAATATGACGAATGATATGCTGCCAATAACAGGCAAGTTTTCCTTTGATCCGAATGTGTACCGACTGAAGGGTAATGGCGTGTTGAGCAACGTTTTGGAATATTATTGGTTGTCGTCTCAAGCTGAGGCTATCGTTGTCGACTCAAATGACCCTCTTCACATATCATGGAACGATACGGTTCCAGGAAAAGTGTGTCTTATATCCAACTACACAGAACCGTTTTACAGCTATACTCAGTCCTTACTCCCACATCTGAACTATACAGTGTGCAATGGCGTGGACATGGTGGAAACGCACGCTTTCATGAGGAAATACTTTCTGTCCCCATCAGGGCCCCCTTTACCGAGTGGCAATGTCCTCACGCATCCTCATTACTCTGTCCAAGCACGTGACTATGATCGTGATGTCACTGAAACGGAAGTCATGGCGATGACGTCAGAAATAGCTGACAAGGATTTGAATTGCAGCACTCTCGAGATTGATGGCAATTGGCAAAAAACACTTGGGGATCTAGATTTGGATCAAGAGAAATTCGCCAATATCACAGCTATGTTGGATTCTATTTCTGCTTCAAAGTGCAAAATGTCACTTGAAATCACTCCTTTCTTTCATTTCAGTTCTGTTAATTTCAAAGAAGGTGTTGAGAGAGAGTTATTTGTAATGGACGCTGGGGGCGTGGTTCCCGGTCTCACGACCCTCGGAGAAGACTTTGCTGGAGTCTTGGATGTTTCTAACCCAGCGGCCAAAGCCTGGTTTACAGGAAAAGTCAATAATTTGGTCTCAAAGTACCAAACCAGTGCATTTCGATTCAGCTATGGCACCAAAGCATGGATGCCTTACAAACCACACTTCGAACACAACGATTTGACTCCAAACAAAATCCGTCGGTTGTACACTGAAATGGTTACCTCTATTAGTCAGAACGTCGTCTTCGAACAGACATCACAGTCACAACATGTCGGAGAACTGATTAGTGTAAGGACATCCATCAAGACTTCTGGCGAGAAGACCTGTCTCACCAACACGCTAGCCAGAGCACTAACACTGGGACTCTTAGGATATCCTTTTATTCTTTCAGACGGCTTTGACCTATATGACGCTGTAACACATTCGACAAGCGGAATGCCTAGCATGGACTTGTATATCAGATGGATGCAGTTGTCGGCCTTCTTCCCAGCCGTGAAATACTCCATCCCACCTTGGTCTTACGGTAGTGCGTGTGTGCAGGTGGCGAAGAACATGAGCCATATCCACCAGACTCACGTCGTGCCTATCATAAACAATCTGGCCGATGACATCAAGAAAGGTTTGCCGATCATGAGACCAGTGTGGTGGATGGATTCCAACAACGTCACTGCCCATAGGGTGGCGGATGAGTTCCTGGTAGGCAACAAACTTCTTGTAGCTCCTGTTGTGTGTGAGGGTACCACCACGAGGGGAATCTTCTTTCCCAAAGGAATATGGTCGGATCACAATAATGGTGGAAGGGTGTTGGTGGGGCCAAAATATATTGAGAATTACACTGTTGGTCAGTTCCAGATACCATATTTTACACGGATGCAGCAATACCCATGATCATCACGGACCTTGCTTGGGATAGCTGTTGGCAAAGATGCAAGTTTAGTCGTAGCCAAGTGATGGACGTTCCAAGTCGTAAGGCCGTTGGTGCAATTTATTCTCTTGCAATGAGGTGGATCCTTGGATTCTGAGACGATTAAATACTCTTAAAATCTTCAGGAGACATACAACACAGCTATAGACACTACCAGTTCCAGCCCACTAGTCCTTACAATAATTACATATAGCAAAACCCTTGAAAATGGCAAGTTTCTACTAGACCTTGTGATACCTTAACTATTGGACAGTTTGGCAAGGGCTATAGGACCAGTGCAAATTTCTAATGCTGCAACATATTGAGATATGTTCTTGACATGAACCTGTGCCCTTCCCATGGCAGGGGCGGTCGGGTAGCCTAGTGGTTAAAGCGTTCGCTCGTCACGCCGAAGACCCGGGTTCGATTCCCGACATGGGTACAATGTGTGAAGCCCATTTCTGGTGTCCCCCGCCGTGATATTGCTGAAATACTGCTAAAAGCGGCGTAAAACCATACTCACTCACTCACTCACCCTTCCCATGGCAAGGTAATCCGTTAGTTGTGTTTATAACATTCCCTGGCTACAGCTGGACACACATAATATCATATCAAACAGTTGAGTGGTGTAGTGTAAAGCCAATATTTTTATATTGACTTATGCCCATCTATTGTTCGTCATTATGTTCTATACACTTACAATAGCACCACTCTCCTACACCAATCTCTTACATCTGCAATACACAGATGTGTTTGTGTTGATCTGTAAGTGGCATGAAGTTAATACTCTGACATCTGAGTTCAAAGTGCAATAACTGCCGTGCTTTTGTCATTCATAATGTATACACAAGGAATAATGTTAATATCTCAAAAATAAATTTTGAAAAAAATATGTTGTCATAATAAGATAATGTCGTAGCAGTGAGCTCCTCCTGAGTGAAGGCAAACAATAAATCTTAGTCATTAGTGCATTCACACTTAGTCCAGTGAGTGAGTATGGTTTTACGCCGCTTTTAGCAATATTCCAGCAATATCACGGCGGGGGACACCAGAAATGGGCTTCACACATTGTACCCATGTCGGGAATCGAACCTGGGTCTTCGGCGTGACGAGCGAACGCTTTAACCACTAGGCTTCCCGACCGCCCCACTATTTTCAAGAGCCTATAGTTAGTGCATATTAGCACACGTGTGTTCAGTCAACAGGAGAAATACATCTGTAACTGAGCCCCTTATTTCCGCTAAATCAGGTTTGTTACTAAAATAATGTCACAAAATTTCACGATTTCCATGACTGAGTAACCGAATCTCACGTTGCAAGGGATCGCAGTGACGTCATTCAATGCTTTAGCAAAGCTTTCAAAAACAGAAATGGTAGACATTTTGACGGTATTTGACGCAACAGTGATCAAAATGGTGTTTGACTTCAACCACATGTTCCCGTATGAACGGTTGATTTGCCGTTGCATGTGTTTGTGATGGATGTCACCGGAGAAGCAGGGTGCGCTCACCTTTTCACGAACACCCGAAGTCATCACTTGTTGGATGTGATTCAAAAACACATGCTCATGACATAGTCGGAATCCTACAATAGACTCTGTTTTGGCAGAGATGTCTTATGAAAGTGGAAAGTATTTTTGCCCTTTATTTAGATAGCGTGACTTAAACAGTGTGTGAGTGAGTGAGAGATGTTTGACGTCACTTTGATAGCCGCGAGCACCGTTATAGTGATACAAATCTTATTCCCGATAGTTATACTTCGCAATGTAGGTTAAACATCTGTGTTTTATGATAAAAAAAAAGTTTCCTTTGCGATAGATCATTGAGGATAAACAATATTCAGGGTGGCAAGTAAAGTACATGATTTTTTACCGGACACAAGATTTTTTATATATATTTTTAATTTAGCTTAACGTCAGTATGTATATCTCAGCGCTGAAAACACCACACTTATTAAATTGTAGAGGGATAACGTGATATGTGTGTTTGTTTTCTATTTAGTCAGATAACGTTACCAGATAGGACACGTGTATAATGTACTTCCTCGTGTATGTATGTCTTACAGATTCAATGATTGGCTGTTTAAGTCTCATGGGTTTCATTTTCAATTTGAATTTACTGTTGTTGTTTAATCTTACAATTTTGTTTTGTTACTTCAAATGTTTCGCTACATATCATCATCATTGTTATATTCGGTAAATAAATATCTTGAAGAAAATCTTTCGTTGTTAGTGAGTTCAGGGTCGCCGAGGTGGCCTAGTGGTTAAAGCGTTCGCTCGTCACGCCAGAGACCCGGGTTCGATTCCCAACATTGGTACAATGAGTGAAGCCCATTTCAGGTATCCTGGAATACCGCTGAAAGCGGCGTAAAACCTCACTCACTGACTGACTCACTCACTCACTCACTCACTCACTCACTCGTAGTGGGTTTTGTTAGGCATTATTGGTACTGATAAAAATACACCCGTCAAGATCCGGGATAGACCAGGTCTTCAGCAACCCATGCTTAACGTAAAGGCGACTGTGCTTGTAGGATCGGGTGCTCAGGCTCGCTGACATGGTTGATGCATGTCCTCGTATACCAAGTACTGGATTGTCTTGTCCCGACTCGATAATTTACAGACCTCCGTCAGATGGAATATTGGATTGCGGCGTTAACAAACTGATAAAAGCGCTGTTTGTTGATCTTCCTGTTAACAGCGCACAACTCATATGAGTTGGCTTCAGTGACACATATTACAGACGTTGTCAACGTGATCACAACCCACGAGCACGGTTGTGGCAGGACAGACCAAGGGTCATCTACGAGGCGAATCTAGGATCCAACGAGTCATTTGTATTTTGTCCACGACCGAATTTGTTCGACACAAGTCTTTGTTTATCGTCGTTCGTATATAGACATTTCCGATGTACATCCAATTGAAGTTCGCTTAGTATATAGAAATAAGGCACTAAGACAAATATTGTTTATATTTACATAACATTTATTAAAAATATCCAAAACATACATTTCACATTCGCTTACATTGTAATTAGTAAGAACGACAGAAGCTTATTTCACTCCAAATATCACAAAAATGCTACAACAACAAAAACAGCGCAAAAAATCAACAGACCCTGATAGCGATTTTCCATCAGCGAACACGTCCATCAGCAAGTGCTCGGTAACATACTTCCTGAAATTGTATGATTTTGGTCTCTTATGGCAAGTAATATGTAGTAACATCAACTTGGCCGGGGTAAACGTAATGTTATACTGCGCCTTCTGCCACTGACTACACCCTCGCTCTATGTCTATAGGTAACGAATAAGCACATGCACTCAAGCGAGAAAGACATGATATTATAGTTCGTAATTGGGGAAAAACATAGAGTCGGCATTGTCAATTCAGCATATATCTTTCCTTTGTGTGTGTTCTTTCATATAATAAAATGATCTTGTAGAAAGTGTTTGAAGCTTTGGAAGTGACGTTTAAAACAATGTTCATCGCAACACTCATATAGAGGACATTTCATGTGTCGAGTAAAGTATCTCCATTTCACGAGATCTCCGTCACGAGATGAGAGAAACATGATATTTCTCGAGACATGTGGAATATCCTATTTATTATATACTTGTTGTGTAGTTGTCTGCCGGAAAATTAAATGTTTTCATTACAAATGTTAAACCTTGAAACGTAAATTCTCCTTACCTAACCACCCCTTGTATTTGCGACTAAAAAGTAGTTCCGTTTGCAAAGTCTTAAAAACTAAAGTAACAAAACATATTTAGGATCACGAAATTTCTGTAAATATTATATAATATACGAAATCAACTTTAACCAAACATATTCTTGAAAACTACGAGACCGCTGTTGGAAGCGAAAGAATACACGCTTGTCAGGCAAGTAACTAAAATGACGTTTTGAGAAACGAGCAGTCTCGATTGACGAGTAAAATGAGAAATTCACAGTTTATAACGAAACATTTTCAAGAGAATAACTAGCGGCTTAAGCGATATTTACTCAATAAATGACTATTTGTCATTATTTTGCCTTGTCAATGTGGAAGTAACCTAAAACAGAAGTCAACAGTCTGTGTACGGGCCAGACACTTACGATAAAGGGAGACAATTTAAGGGGAAGTAACTTTTGTATGACAATAGTTCCGTCAAAGTGATATGTTCGCAGCAGTGAAATATCTAGTGCAATGTTCACTGTAATGAAAAAATCACTTTTCTCAAATTCGGAAAACTCACTTTTTCACACTGAAGTATATAATAATTATGAATATTGGACGACAATCCATTTAACCCTTGGGTTCCTATTTGAAGCAACCGGGATTATTGTACGTAAACAGGATTTCAATAGCAGTTTATTACTGTAACTTTCAAGCAGCAATCCCTCAATAGATCTTTATACACATAGGAATTGTTGACCAGAAAATGTTCCTGTTATTTTGTAAATAAGCGACAAAACCCTTTTCATATACAATAGAGCTCTCTGCATAAAGCACAGTCGATTGTACGATTCAGACTATATCAAAAGCATGTGTTTATGAATCACTATCAAATAGTGACGATACCAGGTTTTCGCGAAAAGGTGAGCGTATCCTGCCACACCGTCGGTACCCGTCACAAACACATGCAAAGGCAATTCAACTGTTCACCTGAAAAAGCACGGGAACATATGGTACAAGTCAAAATAGGGAATTGCATCGGATATCATTTTTGTCACTGATGCGTCAAATTTGGAAATGTCCTCAACATGTCTACCATAAAACTGTAAGCTTTACTGAGACCAGGAATGTTGTAACCTTGATCAAACAACTTCTGAGCAAGAGTCGGAAGCACCGACATATATAGCACAACAGTAAAATCATCGTGGTCTATCTCACAATGTCACACCACGAGACCATGTAGTCAGCAATATATTAGCTACTACAGGAGATCATGTAGACAATATATTAGCTACTACACGAGATCAAATAGTCAGCAATATGTTAGCTACTACACGAGATCATGTAGGTCATATATTAGCCATTACACGAGATCAAATAGTCAGCAATATATTAGCCACTACACGAGATCAAATAGTCAGCAATATATTAGCCACTACACGAGATCAAATAGTCAGCAATATATTAGCCATTACACGAGATCAAATAGTCAGCAATATATTAGCCACTACACGAGATCAAATAGTCAGCAATATATTAGCCATTACACGAGATCAAATAGTCAGCAATATATTAGCCACTACACGAGATCAAATAGTCAGCAATATATTAGCCACTACACGAGATCAAATAGTCAGCAATATGTTAGCTCCTACACGAGATCAAATAGTCAGCAATATATTAGCTCCTACACGAGATCAAATATCAGCAATATGTTAGCTACAACAATAGATCAAATAGTCAGCAATATATTAGCTACTACACGAAATCAAATATCAGCAATATGTTAGCTACTAAACGAGATCATGTAGACAATATTTTACCTTTGTCACGAGATTATGTAGGCAATATCTTAACTCCTACACACGATCAAATAGACAGGATTATATTAGCTACTATAAGACATCATGTAGGCACTATATTAGCTAGTTCATGTAAGCATGTGTAGTCAGCAATATAACAGTTCCTGCACGAGAACATGTTGGCAGCAACATATTATACAGTAAGTTACACACGAGCACGGCATCACCGCAGGAAGGCAGCAGCTGGTCTCACGTTGTAATCTAAGGCAAACTAGGATATTCACGAAACTAATTACATTCATTCTGGTCGGATTTCCCCGATACTGGAACAACTATTGATTTACCAAACTTAAATTCACATGACTAGATGTTGTCTTACTATGTCTGACTTGGGCCATCAACGATATCATTCGGTATGAAAAATAAAGATTAATAGCAACATTTCTGCTTGCACTTTTTTTTTAAATCGTGGGAGTGATTCACCATTCGTCGTTTCCAGACATTCAAATACAGACAGTACAGGAACATCAACTAGTAGCCTTTATTCAGCTACAAGACCCCCCCCCCCCCCCCCCCCCCCCCCCACACACACACACACACACACACACTCCGCCAGCAGGAGCTAGCAGTTGGTACGGGTCAGTTGGTACTCTGTGCTCATTCTCTTACTCTCTTCTCTTGCAATTTACGATGTACTTAGGTACAAAGCACCAACGAGTTCATTACAAGTAGGGCGCACCGATTTTAAATAGGACACGGGACAAAGGGCGGACATGACAAAGGACAGCTTGTACAATTACACAGCTTATACTGCACCATTGATCGAAATGATTATTTCTTTCACATCATACACAGACTATATATATATAAATATATGTAACACAACAGTAAAAGGTCTACACAACTTCCTTTATAAACACAACATCATCATGGTGTGCACTGCATCCTTTATATATACACCTCCATTAAAAGGCCAACATTGAATGTTTTGCAAATACAAAATATACTGTCGCATCATTTAACATTTCAACACGTGCGATGACATCACACACTGCGTCCTTTAACAGCAAAACAACTACATTCATTACATCCTTTAACAACACAACGCTGACATCCACATACATTACATCCTTTAACAATTCAACACCTACATTCTCAGCATTCACTGCTTCATTTAACAATTCAACACCTACATTCACATCATTCACTGCATCCTTTAACAATTCAACACCAACATTCACATCATTCACTGCATCCTTTAACAATTCAACACCCACATTCACATCATTCACTGCATCCTTTAACAGTTCAACACCAACATTCACATCATTCACTGCATCCTTTAACAGTTCAACACCTACATTCACATCATTCACTGCATCCTTTAACAGTTCAACACCAACATTCACATCATTCACTGCGTCCTTTAACAGTTCAACACCTACATTCACATCATTCACTGCATCCTGTAACAGTTCAACACCAACATTTACATCATTCACTGCATCCTTTAACAGTTCAACACCTACATTCACATCATTCACTGCATCCTTTAACGGTTCAACACCAACATTCACATCATTCACTGCATCCTTTAACAATTCAACACCCACATTCACATCATTCACTGCATCCTTTAACAGTTCAACACCAACATTCACATCATTCACTGCATCCTTTAACAGTTCAACACCTACATTCACATCATTCACTGCATCCTTTAACAGTTCAACACCTACATTCACATCATTCACTGCATCCTTTAACAGTTCAACACCAACATTCACATCATTCACTGCATCCTTTAACAGTTCAACACCTACATTCGCATCATTCACTGCATCCTTTAACAGTTCAACACCTACATTCACGTCATTCACTGCATCCTTTAACAGTTCAACACCAACATTCACATCATTCACTGCATCCTTTAACAGTTCAACACCAACATTCACATCATTCACTGCATCCTTTAACAGTTCAACACCTACATTCACGTCATTCACTGCATCCTTTAACAGTTCAACACCTACATTGACATCATTCACTGCATCCTTTAACAGTTCAACACCAACATTCACATCATTCACTGCATCCTTTAACAGTTCAACACCAACATTCACATCATTCACTGCATCCTTTAACAGTTCAACACCTACATTCGCATCATTCACTGCATCCTTTAACAGTTCAACACCTACATTCACGTCATTCACTGCATCCTTTAACAGTTCAACACCAACATTCACATCATTCACTGCATCCTTTAACAGTTCAACACCAACATTCACATCATTCACTGCATCCTTTAACAGTTCAACACCTACATTCACATCATTCACTGCATCCTTTAACAGTTCAACACCTACATTCACGTCATTCACTGCATCCTTTAACAGTTCAACACCCACATTCACATCATTCACTGCATCCTTTAACAGTTCAACACCAACATTCACATCATTCACTGCATCCTTTAACAATTCAACACCCACATTCACATCATTCACTGCATCCTTTAACAATTCAACACCAACATTCACATCATTCACTGCATCCTTTAACAGTTCAACACCTACACTCACATCATTCACTGCATCCTTTAACAGTTCAACACCAACATTCACATCATTCACTGCATCCTTTAACAATTCAACACCTACATTCACGTCATTCACTGCATCCTTTAACAGTTCAACACCAACATTCACATCATTCACTGCATCCTTTAACAGTTCAACACCAACATTCACATCATTCACTGCATCCTTTAACAGTTCAACACCCACATTCACATCATTCACTGCATCCTTTAACAATTCAACACCCACATTCACATCATTCACTGCATCCTTTAACAGTTCAACACCCACATTCACATCATCAACTATACATACAAACAGAGTATACGCCTAAGTGTATGAGTGCAGTTACTGAAAGGTGTTGACGCTGCGTTAAGAGGGGCGACTTCGGTTTTCCAATAGTCAAGTTTAGCTTTCCCCATATTCCAGGATCTCCTACTATGGTGTCTACATTTCACAACTTTAGAGGTACAATCGAACATGTACTTTCGACCAAAATTTCAAAGTTACTCATACGAATATTGCTGAACCGCTACATGATCAGGTTTACAGCATTAAAGGCCTCAAGGCAGAATACAAACACCTTTTGTTGAACACCTGGTGCCATCGCCATTCGACGCTGAATCATAAACACATGTATAGGAAATAGTTGGAATCGTGCAGTGGACAGTGGCTTTTGAAAGAATTTTTTATGATTATGGAAATGTTTTGCCGCTTTTATTATATGATTACATATATGGCCGACCATTGGAATAACGTCATCTGCCTGTCAATACAACAAATATAAAACTCTCTCTCTCTCTCTCTCTCTCCCTCTCTCTCTCTTTCTCTCTCTCTCTCTCCCTCTCTCTCTCCAGCTTCATCAAAACAAAACACTCTTCGTCACGACATGTGTATAATATTATTATTTCGTGATGGGAATAAATGATGAGCGTTATTAATATTTCCCATTTCACGAGACCAATAATTGTATTTACTTGAAAGAAACACGATCTGTTCAGCATCTTGTTAAAACCTGACCCGGTGACCCTGGCTACTGCCTCACAATATGAAGTCTCCGTATATTAATTACAAAATATGAACAGATATCGCTCTTGCAAAACCACGATCGTTCATACGGCAGTTAACATTACCAGCCGAAAACGATTCGACCTGCAACTGCATCAACCTCAAACTCAAATTCAACCTCTTGGGGTTCAACCTCTCCTATATCTCTCGTGTCTCATGTTCCTTACTGTCAGGTCAGAGCCTTCGTGGTCAAGTGGTATAGCGTCCACCCGGAGAGCGGAAGGTCCGGGGTTCGATGCCCGGCCGCGTCACACCAAAAAGACGTTAAAAAACGGTGGTACTTGTTGTTACCCTATCTGGCGCTCGGCATTAAGGGGTTAAAACAAGGACTGGTCAGCTCGGAGTCAGTATAGTGTGTGTGAGTGGGGTATTCATGTTAAACTGCGGCATGGTACCTTAGTGGGCTAGCACTATAATCGGCATCAGTCCTGACTAGTACAATCAGCCTCTGACATACACGCACACGTGCATACATGCATGTCGCTATATAAGTTCAATAACGTTTGACGGGACGTTCAACCCCATTTCACCTCGCCTACTGTCAGGTCAAGAGAAATGAAAAAGTGGCATATTTCTCCCGCTGTCAGTTCAGGTCACTTGAACAAGACCTTCCCAAATACACCAAGCTAAATGATAAGGCACTGAAGCATCTGACAGAGTCGCTACGTTTGAAACAGAAGTAATAGATAACTTGACAGGACAATCAAAGAGGCGAGAGGTTTGAAGCGGAAACCGTCGCTTGCATGTTCGTTGCAAACAGGGGAGGTAACTCCTTTCATGAAAGTGTTCAGGAGGTCCACTATGGCGTGTCCGCAGTACACGTGCACCGGTTGTATGATGCATCCCCGTATCCCGTTCTGAAAGCTGGAAGAGAAATAGGAGACGTTGAGTTATGTTTAGTGAGCAGTTTTCCAGTGACCGTCCGCGCGCGTGTGTGTGTGTGTGTGTGCTTGGTGTGTGTGGTGTGTTTTTGTGTGTTTGTCTGTGCGTGGGTGTGGGTGTGGGTGTGTGTGTGTTTATGTGTGTGCGTGAGTGTGTGTGTGTCAGTGTGGGTGTATGTGAGTGTGTGTGAATGAGTGAGTGACTGTGTGTGTGTCTCTTTGTGTGAGTGTGTGTATGTGTGTGCGTGCGTGCGTGCGTGTGTGTGTGCACCAATTGATGTTAATATTAGGGTAACATTGGAAGTAAAAGACTCAATTTCTGGTTATTGCTTGTTATTTCTGAAAAAAATTGTTTTGTCAAACCAAAACCAAAACCCAGAATATGAAATAATGGACGGCCTCACAGTGAGGTGAAAGCACAAGGCGGAGTAAAATTAGCAAGGCAGGCACAAGTGCAGGTAACGTGTAGCATAGATGACGTTAAAATCCTTCATGGGCATGGACGGTTGGCTTTCAAGTAATAAGCAATTGTTTGTTATTGCTTAACGCCACACTCAGCAACATTCCAATTAAATGACGGCGTTCTGTAAATAATCGAGTCTGGACCAGACAATCCAGTACTTGACATCATAAGCATTGACCTCCACAATTGGGATACAATGACATGCATCAACCAAGTCAGGGAGCCTGACCAGCCGATCCCGCTTCTTACAACAAGCAGGGTTGCTGAAGACCAACTCTAACCCGGGTCTTCACGGGTAAGTAATTACTTTGTGCAGTGTGGTGTATGTTACATAAATATCCGATACTTGCTAAGACAAGCGCTCTTGTACACACCCGCAGAAGCTGTGAATTTCCTCGTTGACTGTTTTAGACTGGTGGATGCTGACGTTGAATGTCTCCTCAATCTGCTTGTAACACGGCGTGATTCTTTCATCCTGCTTCATCATACAGCTGCTTGACTTGATGTATACTACACAATGAAACATAGGGATCACAGTGAATGACTGAGTGACAAGCATAGATTGCTGAAGACCTAGTCTGACCCGGATCTTCACTGGTGAGTCTAAGTATTTAACACTATCACCAGCCTGGTTCCCTGGGTATGCTGCGCTGACGCTACACCAGCACAGCATGCCCAGGGAACCAGGCTGCAAAATCACAGGCATGTCGAGGCGTGGCAGGTCGTGGGGCAAGTCCGGAAGTGAAACGCTTCCTTTAAACAAACGAGCAAGGGTCATTATATCGATAAGTTTACATTCGAACACCAATCAGTTGATCTTTCCTGAGTGACGCAACTTGGTGGCAACTATAAAAGAGAGTACAGTAAACTACGTTTATAACGAACACGCTTATAACGAACCGGCGGATATAACGAACTGTTTTTGGGTCCCGTACATTTGCTGTATATATGCTGTATATATACTTTTAACGAACTACGGTTATAACGAACTAAAAATTGTGGTCCCTTTGAGTTCGTTATAACCGTAGTTTACTGTATTTCTATAACGCACATGAGGTACTTGTACACCGACACTGCTTGTGTTCGATTTAAAAACCTGGAAGACCCAAGTGACCGACATATGACCCACATTAACCTTGGTAGACCAATGTTAGCACAAGTTAACGGATTTACGTCATACCTCGGTCATATTCTGATTAGCAGCCTCCAAGTGACGTCATCCTTAAGGTTCGCTAGTTTAAATTATTTATTCAACCACGAATAAAAGCTTTCAATTATTATAATTTACATGATATTGATAGCATATTTAACTTTCGATTGTTGATGTTCTCAGCTAGCCTGGCGCTTTTGACCAATTCTTTTGCCATCATACCTTCTTTATTTAATGCATGTAAAACGACCAGCAATTTCAAAATAACGTGAAGAACATCTAAAAGGGATGCATCAAAAATCATCATCAAATTTGCATTATTGATTCTTAAGTATACATATATCAACAATCAAAAGGTAAATTTTCCTGGCCCACATCAAAATAAATATACACGATCAGTACTTATATGTAAATTAGTTAATTAAATTCATTAAAAAATGCTAATAAATGAAAGGAATAAGTTTTAACTAACTCGTCAATTGGAGACTGTCAACCAGAGTTGCTCATCCCGGGTGTTCTGTATGACTTTAATCAGTTAACATGCGCTAACATTGGACAAGCACAGTTATCGCTGATAAAACGCTGGTCAACAGGTTAAACTTGGACGTCTAGGGTGTGGAAATCAAACGCAAGCCCGCCAAGAAGTAACATGATTGAATCATCTCGACACTAAACGGCTGTCAAATACAGTTCACCGAACTTAACCGAGAACATCTGATTGTAATGAAAGGGCGATAACTCTGGATGTCTTTACTGCGTCTTCAAGCTGCAAAGGTGTCGGTGGAACGGTTCGCTTACCATTCTTATGAATACATTTTAGATAAACGGTCGAAAATTATGCCGGTAAGGTACATTCGTTGTCAACCGTTCCCTCGGGGTATATGGTGTGATGTACCGGGTGAATGAGACAATGTACCCATCGCCTACCGCCTAGTGACTCGTGGTACAGAGGCACTCACATTGGGAACATCACACCATATTCACAGGCTGGTCGACAACCTACTTCACAACATGTGTTTATCTCATACACACACATTAATATTTCAAAGGTAAATAGGGGTACGGGGTCCAGTCGTCTAAGGCGCCTCAATTCGCTGTGGAGACTTGCGTCCCTTGGACACTCAAGAAATCTATGATTGTGGGTTTCGAATCCCGGTTCGCCTCAGTTATGTTTCTTGGTTTGTCAGCACCATACCCGTGCTCGTGGGTTTCACCAAGGTGGTAAAAATCCGAGACCTGAATCATTTCGGGCTTTCCTCCCACATTAAGCTGACACGCCGTGATATAACGGTAATACTGTTCAAAGCGGCATTAAACCAGACTCACTCACTCACTCACGTATGCGTCGCTGTCATACGTACAGTCAAGGTTGGCACACAGTTCGCCGAACGCCTTCCTGATGCTGTCGGGGTCAGCCAGTTTCTTGAGCAGGAAGAGGAGATCCTTTCGATGGCGACAGTCATGGAAGATTCGCTCAACACACACAATAGCTGACTTGAATTCCCCTGTCCTGAAACAGACGGCAAGAGAGTTAGGTATAGAGGACTTTCCAAGAGAATGGTAGTGATTTTAAGGCAGTCTCTTGTCCTGTCAGGACAGGCTATAAACACTCAAGTCCAGACCAAGCAAATCTGGGAGGAAAACAAGAGCAACAATCCACACATCCGTGGTATAATGATGACGCAAAGCCTTAAAGTCAAATTGCACCCGTGAGATCCGAGTTAGCATAGGTCTTCGGGAAATATAGCGACAAAAGTCTTTCCATATCCAATAGAAATCTCTGCATAGCAGAGTCGAGTGTACGATTCCGACTATATCATGAGCATGTGTTTATGAATCACAATCAAATATATTATAATACCATGTAAGGAAATGCTTTTCGAAGACCTGATTATACCATGTGTTCGCGAAAAGGTGAGCGTAACCTGACCCAACGGTGGCACTTGTCACAAACACATGCAAAGGCAAGTCAACTCTTCACCGAAAAAAACACGGGGATATTTGGTACAAGTCAACATAGGGAATTGAATCGGACATCATTTTTGTCAGTGATGCGTCAAATTTGGAAATGTCCTCCACATGTCTACCATAAAACTTTTGAAAGTTTTACTGAGGCCTTGAATGTTGTAACCTTGATCACGCAACTTCTGAACAAGAGTTGTATGACGCTCTTTGAAATCTTGGTAGAAAGAGCATGCTGGATTGTATCTCAAAAGTTGTGAACTGTACACACCAAAGGCTGAAGCTCCTGGAATAATTATTGCTCGACATGAAGGGAAAGTTGACTATTGGAATGTTGAGGTCATCCCTCTTGTCATACAGTTTTTAGGAGAATGACTTGACTTTGCCAATCCAAACAAAAATTCCGATTCATATGCATAAACAAACAGATCCGCAAGAAGGGGAGCACAATTGGTGCCCATGGGGATGTCTACTTCTTGCCTAAATGTCTTACCTCCAAATTGTACGTAGATGTTATCAATGAGGAAGTCCAGCATTTCACATATTGTTTTCTCAGTAACCTTCAGGTGGCATTTGCTTTCATTTTATACAAAATGTCCAACCCATGCCTGTTGTAGGAAGCGACTATGTTTGTCTTAAGAGGCGACTAACGGAATCGGGTGGTCAGGCTCGCTGACATGGTTGATGCATGTCATCGTATCCCAGTTGCGTAGATCGATGCTTATGATGTTAATCACTGGATTGTCTGATCCAGACTCAATTATATACAGACCGCCGTCATATAGCTGGAATACTGCTGAGCGCGGCGTTAAACAACAAACAAACAAATAAACACAAACTGACCACCCGATCCTCATTTTAGTCAATTCAGTGAAATTATACTCCTGTAAATTAATTTTATAAATTATTTTAATTAATTTACAGGAATTGATAGCAAGATATTTTTTAAAGAACTCAGATTCCTTAAGTTTATATGGTAAAGTAATGATATAAATTATAAAGTAATAAATAATTATTCCAATCAATTATTTGATTGATGCCATATCAAATTTAAATGCAGGACAAATAAACAAAGATTCAATGATTCATGGTGCAACATCCACATGGTATATAGCTTGTTGGCTCTTGCTTTAGGACAAAGTGCTTTTTATATAGCATATTTATTAAAAGATAGTGTTGAAAGTGATTACCTATATCATAACAAGTAAGACTTATTTCAAGATACAAAGAGTTCGTAAAAACAAAGGCAGCATCTCTTTGTCACAACCTGGTCAGGCATTATCCAGAGTGCCTGATCAATTCTGTTACAGAATAAACTCTATAATCGTAATCAATTTCCTATATAATTGTGATGAATATTGAAATGGGTTTCATACAGAATTGATGTAATTCTTTACAGAAAATCATTAACCAGGTTTTGAAGAGATTGTCAGTAGTTGATGAGTGAGCCAGAGCTAATGTTTATTAAGGATGTTGATTGTTCAAGATTGGGTTATGATTTTGTTGAAAGTGAGCTTCATATTTACTTCACAGTTATTTTGCTGGCTTCGGAACATATTCATGTGGGTTCTTTTCAACTTTTGAAAGGATTTTACCCAATCATAACTTTAGGTCATTTCGGATGACGTTCAGTCCGTATCCTAGAAATAGGAACCGGTCTGAAGCCTGGGTGTTTTTATGTTCTTTTGTTTTTTAAGAAAAATTTGTCTCACACCAGTTTGTGAAGCATACTTTGGATGTACTTTTGACTATCTAATGAATTCCATGTGTCCCGCTACCTAGTAATTGAATCTAAATATATTCTATTTCATGAATAAGTAATGCTTGTCACTTCACATGTGATATGCTTTTCTCTGGTTTGTAAAATGATATTTATATTATGTAGTGGTATGTCCTGTAGGCATGTGACTTCTGATGCAATAAAACAATTATGCTTCTTAATAAATAAGTCATGATGTCAACATGTAATTTTGTTGATAAAAGCTTTGAATTTTGTTGTACTTAATTTACATGTTTAGTTGTTAACAGTTAAAATTTTTGGATTCATGATAATTCTTTTGAATAAAAAATAATAATTGAGTTTTAATTTGTGTTGCGTTTTATTTCAATGCAAGTTAATTGATTGGAAGTACTGCGAACCCTCCTTTCAGCTTGTGTTCCCATCACAGATTTCCGATTTCGGGATTTTCCAATTATTTGGTCAAGACAACTGCAGGTGCTCGTTGCCTCTTAGATCCTCTCAATGTTTGTCATTGTTACTTACATGTACCTACCTACTGGCAGTTCATAAAGTGTGACTAGCGATTTCTATCTAAATTTAGAATATTCTTACATTAGCGCCCTTGACATATAAATTGGAAAAATATTATTTGTTCAAAAGTGGGAATTTTTAACCTATAATTTCCTGAGTTATTAGAAATGTTAAAACTTCTTAAGAGGGAAACTTTACTGACATCCGATCTAGGATATCTGGATATCAGCCTCTGAGCAGGCCCATATGATCAACTACATAAAGATGTCCAAATGAAATAAATTTGATGATTCAATTATTGTGAAAAAATGTCGCAGAGAGGAGAAATAATTTACTGCTTTGTTTTTATTAACTATTCTTTAATTTTTATTACGTAAAAAACCTCTACATCTATGCCTCACAGGTTAAATTGGCTTAACTTAGAGCAACAGATATAAACAGTGGGCCGTGTTGTAACTGTTGATCCACTATTTTATAGATATAAACATCATTTGCCACTTGCTTTTGTTTGTTTGTTTGTTTGTTCCAGCTGTATGACGGCGGTCTGTAAATAATCGAGTCTGGACCAGATAATCCACGGACTGACATCATGTGCATCGATACACGCAATTGGGATACGATGACATGAATCAACCAAGTCAGCGAGCCTGACCACCCGATCCCGTTAGTCGCCTCTAACGACAAGCATAGTCGCCTTTTATGGCAAGCATGGGTTGCTGAAGACCTACTCTACCCCGGATCTTCACGGGTCCCACTTGCTTGTGCTTTTGTTTACGGTTTCCATACAATAACGATGGGAAGTAAAAACACTTTAATTACCCTGCATGAATATATATGATTGACATGTTAGATTTATACATTGACAAATGGTATTCTGTGTTTGGCATGAGTGGTTCAACGTATCGCACGCTTCTAAGTCTCAGCAATGGTGATTTCGTCATTGACAGATATACCATAACATTTTCTCTCACCATAAATAACTTGACAACTAAAATATAACCCAAATCAGAATATATATAACCCTCCTCTTTAGATATTTTTGACAAACGACTGGTACCAAAGTATCCTGAGCCAAATTCATCGCGCAAACGAGTTTCGCCGGCTGTGACGTCATGGCGATTAGCCAGTGGTTGTTTCCCTTAACTATAACCCCTAAAATAGAACTGAAGCAGGAAGCTATCGGCCACAACTGGATCGGTCTGTTGGGATACGATGACATGCATCAACATGGTCAGTCAGCAAGTCTGACCACCTAATCCCGTTAGTCGCCTGTTACGGCAAGCAGAGTCGCCTCTTACGGAAATGATAGTCGCCTCTTACGGAAAGCATAGTCAAGCATAGTCAAGCATAGTCGCCTGTTACGGCAAGCAGAGTCGCCTGGTACGGCAAGCAGAGTCGCCTCTTACGACAAGCATAGTCGCCTCTTACGGAAAGCATAGTCAAGCATAGTCGTCTCTTACGAAAAGCATAGTCAAGCATAGTCGCCTATTACGGCAAGCATAGTCGCCTCTTACGACAAGCAGGGTCGTCTCTTACGAAAAGCATAGTCAAGCATAGTCGCCTCTTACGACAAGCAGAGTCGCCTCTTACGGAAATGATAGTCGCCTCAAACCAATTAACCCGTCAAAATGAGTGTGTCGTTGGTAGTACCGGAGTTACCTCCCGTTGTTCGTGTTTCCACAAGCTCATTTCCAGCCGCATGACGTCCTCCCGATGTCAGTATCATCGCTGCAACCAGTGTGTGTGTGTGTGTGTGTGTGTGTGTGTGTGTGTGTGGAGGGGGGGGGGGAGAGAGAGAAGGAGGAGGAGGGGGTGCATATCGAAATGCTGATGTTATACTGCTAGCCCACTGAGATACTCCGATTCGGTGTCACCTCACCTCATGATACGCCAAGTCGTTGACATAAGTGACAAATGTTTAACCATCCTTGACTCTTTATGTCTAAGCTACAGGATTACGGAAACAACCACACTCCATCACAACCTGTCCTATAAAGACCGCGCGTCTATCATTCTGCTTAATCACGATTTACCTCCCCATAAAGCGATTATGGGCTACGTCGTCTGACGTGAAACATTGGTGTAGCATCAAAACATTATCGGCGTCCTCATCGTTGAGACTGCACCATCCTCACGCGAACGTATGACGTTGCTGCAGTTCAGTTTAATGGACGACTTGTAATTATAAGAATCTGTACTTTACTAAGAAACTGTTATCCCAAATGTAACATGTGTTACATTTGACCACTTTCTAAATCGCACCAGCCATTCACGGAGTACTCTCTATTTAACTTTCTCTTTAAAATTGTATCGATAATTGTGAGGAAATGAAGGGCCATTTACCGGACCACGCCGTAAAGGATCCTCCTTGTACAGTGTTAGCTTAATCTAGCGTGTCGTATCTTGTACGTTAACATTGCAATACACAAGTTTTGCAGTATCCTTTTCGTAAAGAATTCATAATTAAACTGGACTTAAAAAAACAACTGCGCACACCTACCTGCAGTGATGTTTAATTATATGGGAGTCCTCGCCAAGCTTCTTTCCTTCTTCGTGAATGCCACTTGTTAAGTTTGACAGACAGATCAATACGTCGTTTACAGCATTTGTAGGACACGCCCATCCTCCTATAACGTGTGTAATAAGGGCCACACCCACTGCAACACAAACATAAGTTCATTTAAGTATGTTATCAAACGTGTGTCTGTGTAACCATGGGGCTCGGATGACCCGTGCACTAAGGCGATATAACTCGCCGTGCAGAGTTATTGCCCTTAGCTGCAAGCATTTGCTTGTCGCGGGTTCGAATCTAAGTTTTGCCCTCTATTTTATTCCATGGTTTTGAGGGGACACGAGTGGCCCAGACGTCCAAAGCGCACTTGAAACCTATGATTGTGGGTTCGAATCCCGCTTTGCCCCTATTATGTTTCCAGGTTTAACAGCTCCATACCCGAGCTCGTAGGTTTCACCGAATCGGTAAACGTCTGAGACCTGCATCACTTTAGTCTGCCCTCCCACATTAAGCTGACACGCCGTAATCTAATTGGAATACTCTTCAAAGTGGTGTCAAACCAAAATATACATATTACAACTGAACATACATCTAAAAAATGAACAATTTGCATTTTAAGTACTAATCACACATAACAGACGAAAGTACTGTTCATTCGAAGATTTCGTTGAATGTCAACAAAAATCGTGGACCAAAGTTACTTTTATTTCCGTTTTTCATTTTTAAATAACCAGTGATATTACTATAAGGTACACTATCACACTTCTGCCAATATTTTTGATTCCGAAATTGGATTGTCTGCCCCGGTGGGGCGGATACGCTCACCTTTTCGTGAACACTGGGTATCATTACTAATTGATCGCGAAAGTGTGAGCGTATCCTGCTCCACTTGTGGCGCCCGTCACAAACACATGCAAAGGCAAGTCAATTGTTCACCTGGAAAAAAACACGAAAACACACGGTACAAGTCAACATAGGGATTTGCATCGAACATCATTTTTGTCACTGATGCGTCAAATTAGGAATGTCCTTCACATGTCTACCATAAAACTTTTTGAAAGTTTTACTCAGGCCTTGAATGATGTAGCCTTGCTCAAACAACTTCCGAGCAAGAGTCGTATAACGCTCAACGTTAGTGAAATGTAAACACCAAAGGCTGGAGATGCTGGAATATTGCTCGATATCCCTCGTATCATACAGTCTTGTGGAGAGTGTCTTGTCACTCTGAATCTTTATCTATAGATCTTTATTTATAGATCTAAATATGAAACAGATGATGCGGTCTCGCTGGTCTCCTGTACTTCTAGTTCAGGTGGAAGAGAATTGACTATTTGATGGTCATTGAACGATATCAGATCATCGATATACCTGAAGCTCCAGTTAAACTTCTTGGCAAGATTACCTTCTTTTGATTTTGCCAATCGGAACAGAAATTCCGATTTATATGAAGAACAAAACAGATCAGCAAGAAGGGGAGCACGACTGGTGCCCATTGGGGATGCTTACTTCTTGACTCAATAACTTTCCCCAAATTCTACATAGATGTTATCATTGAAGTCCAGCATTATATATCATGTTTTATCAGTAAACGTCAGATAGCATTTCTTACAAATTGACATAAGCCTGGGATGATATATACATGTATGTAACTATATCTATGGTCACCATGTTTTGTAACAAAAGACTCGAGGATCAAGGAATGAAGTCTGTCCTCAAGTGGGACAGTCGTGTTGAAAAGTCAAACTTTTTGAAAGAAAAGGTTCTTTTCTGAGATTGTTAAAAGTGTTTGAGAATCCCGTGGTTTTAATTCCACTTGTCTCCAATAATGTCTGTGAATATAGAGAAAGTCCTTCCTTGACTGTAGTCAGGATTAAGACAAACTATGTGTTTAGTTGTACATTTGCTTGACCAAGCAATAATTATATCCAGACTTTGGATGATAGCTGTCTGGGGCAGAATGGGTTTATTCTAATTCTGTTTCTTCTTTGTCACTTTGTGCATTCTATCGAAGACAACATCACGCATTGATTTAACCCACTCTGGAAGACATTCAACGGGATCCTCTTCTCATTTGCCCATAGTCATAAACACATGCTCTTGATATAGTCGGAGTTGTACAATCGACTCTGCTTTATGCAGGAAGGGTTTTGTCGCTTTATTTATTTACATATTCTTCGACAGATCCATATTGATTTTGAAGTTGTCATCTTAATTGGTAGGAGGCTGCTCATGGTATTTTGGTCCATATTTGAATAACTGACGAACGTTGTTATTGTCAACAATAGAGAAGTCGCCTGTGATGATATGACCTACAAGATGGTGGCAGTATGATGAGTCTTGGCAGCCACAAGAAGTGAAATTCACGTCATGAGACAACACGTTCCTATAATTGAACAACCATCATGAAATAGGGAAATAGCCAAATGAAACCGTTGGTGGTTCCAGACATTTGAAATATTGAGGGACATTTTGAGAAACTAATATAGTTCTGAGAAATCTCTGCTAAAAAGACCAGTCCTTTAGAGGGGTCCGACAACATCACGAGCCTGTTTCCGCGAAATTATTAGCGTTTTTCTCCCCACTGGGAGAGGAATGCAGAGGCAGTGTAAGTATAAATAAGTAATCCATTTTTAGCTGTTGATTAACAAAATTGGCTATAAATGGCTATTTTATTTTATTTGTTTAGGTAATAATATTCTTTATAATGTCATTTTCAATGAGAATAGAGACTGATGATCAGAATGTCACAGTGTCAGACGTGTCATTGACTATGTCGGCCCATACAAATACAACTCTTGTGATAAAATATCGGATTCTTCATCACAGGCAGATCAAATTCCATGGTCCCAATTACTTCAAGTGTGGTAGTTGTTTTTATCCGTGCGAGGAAATAGGGATATAAACATGGTAAGATATATAAATAAGTCCCTCAGTTACACACTTTAAAAGACTTGATGTTTGTTTGTTGTTTAACGCAACACTCAGCAATATTCAAGCTATATGACGGAGGTCTAAATAATCGAGTCTGGACGAGACAATCCTGTGATTGACATCATGAGCATCGAGCAACGCAATAGGGATACAATGACATGCAACAACCACGTCAGCGAGCCTGACCACCCAATCCTGATCCACGTCGCTATATGAATGCACTGGGATTGTATGCGACCACATTTCACCTCGCCCGATACATATATTTACTGAAGGGATAACGCCATTTATAATCTCATCTCAGTGATAAAATAAATTACATCGTTGCTGACAAATCATATTAACGTTAAGGGTAATTGGAATATCACGGAGAAGACGGCGGAGGCGCGTCAGACGCACGGATTCGGGGTGTGGCATAAATCACATCAGCCATCCTCCTTCCCTGATTCAGTCACCGCGTCCACTCCCTGACTACACCAGACGAGACATGACGTCAAGGTGGGTGTAAGTGAGACGTATCACGCAATCGCTATGTGGGATGATGTGGGAATCAAGGGAAATTGGGCAATGAGTTATGTTTCCGCCACTTTGCAAGGACACGTATGCATACCTGTTCATTCTCATCGTCTGTCCTTGTCATTCGATGGTTCACGGGAAGTAGTATGTTATTGGCAAACCAAGATCCACGATTATTTCGAATCTTGGAGTGAAACATATGATCATAAGTTTTTGACACGCTACTTTGATGGCAAGAACAAATGTGTCACATGGTCATGATTCAATATATGTGGAGACCGCCTCCGTGGTCTAGTGGTAGAACGTCCGCCCGGAGAGCGGAAGGTCCGGGGTTCGTTTCCCGACCGCGTCATACCAAAAGACGTTAAAAGATGGTACTTGTTGTTACCCTGTTTGGCGCTCGGCATTAAGGGGCTAAAACAAGGACTGGTCGGCTCGGAGTCAGTATACTGTGTCTGAGTGGGGTATTAATGTTAAACTGCGGCATGGTATCTCAGTGAGCTAGCACTATAAATCGGCATCAGTCCGGACTAGTACAAGCAACCACACAAACACACACACGTACATGCACGTCGCTATATAAGTGCAATAATCTTGGACGCGACGTTAAACCCTATTTCACCTCACCTCACCTCAATATATGTGGATCTGAAAAATAGGTCTTCAGCAACCCAGCCTTGCCGTAAAAGGCGATTATGCTTGTCGTAAAAGGCGACTAACGGGATCGGGTGGTCAGGCCCCCTGACTTAGTTTATGCATGTCATAGTATCCCAATTGAATGGATCGATGCCCATGATGTCAATCACTGGATTGTCTGGTCCCGACTCGATTATTTACAGACCGCCGTCATATAGCTGGAATATTGCTGAGTGCGGCGTTAAACCACAAACAACAACAACACCTTTTTTTAATTCAGTGCACATCATTCTGTATGAATTTTGACGACTTATTTCGTTATTCATATACAAAATTGTCAAGGGTCAAGAGTCGCGGCGCTATGACTGTCTGCGTTTAACTATGGTAGTTTCGACATTCGTAGCGCTACTAGGGGCGGTCGGAATGCCTAGTGGTTAAAGCGTTCGCTCGTCACGCCAAAGACCCGGGTTCGATTCCCGACATGGGTACAATGTGTGAAGCCCATTTCTGGTGTCCCCCGCCATGATATTGCTGGAATATTGCTAAAAGCGGCGTAAAACCATACTCACTCACTCACTCGTAGCGCTACTATAGCTTTGTGAAACGGAGCTCAGGGCACAGTTTCACAAAGAGACCGTCGTAAATATGTGCGCTACCATCGTCTTAGCGCTAAGATCACTTTGTGGAACGAAATACAAGGCCTCTTATAAATTAGCATTACTCCTATCGTTACTCTCGTACTATTAAGACAGCTGTTACAGGGCTTATCTTTGTGGATCAGTGATTCAATCTTTGGCAAAAGAGTACTACAGCTGGTTACAAAAGCCGTTAAAGAGAATATAATCAAAATTAGTCCACTGCCCACTTGGACAACGCTAAGACTTCCGCACTTTAACATTGACTTCCGGTAACCGTAACGCTAAAACAAAACTTCATTCTTTAACATAGACCTTACGACAATCGTAGCGCTAAGATCACAAAACTCCATACTTTAACATAGACCTAACGACAGTCGTAGCTCTAAGATGTTTTTGTGTAAAGATACCATAACCTGAGACTGCC